AAGACCGGATGTCACTGAGGAAATGGCCGGAATGGACTAAAAATTAAAAAAATGAATGTATTTTTACTTCCTTTTTAATTACTGAATATACAAATGTATAGTCAACATTCAGGAATGGGGCCAGGTGATATGGACTAAGTTACTTGGAAGTAAATCGTCGGGTGTTTCGGAATGCATCGGACAAAAACTGGCTATTGCGTCGAATTCACCTCAATAGGCTCCGTTCGTTAGGATGCCTTTTGTCTAACAATCACCTACTTCACTGCGCCTTACTTGCAGCGGCCGCCCCAGACTGGAGAAAGCCATGTGGAGGCCAGCAGATGGGGTGGAGACGAGTCATAAGGAAATGAATTGAGCTTTTATGTACAGTACGTCAAACTCAAAGTTTTATTACGGGAAATACTTAGGAGTGGTAGCTTTTCTTGTCCTATAGGGTTTAGAACAAACGGATCGATTTACAGTTCACAGAAAGGAGTGTAACAAATTTTCTTTGTTTCGAGCACTGCTACGGATGTCGAAATTCAGGACTTGACAATGTTTCATCCAGTTTGTGCTTGAAAGAATCAATTGTGGATACAGAAACAACGGGAAGGATTCCAAATACTGTACACCCTGAGGGCAAATGAATGACGTTGCATTCTAATCGATATTTTTGAGGCACTAATTTAAGGGTTGGGTTATAAAAGATTCCGTAGCTGGATGGTTGGAGACAATGTAGGTCATACCAGCAAACCGACAGCACTGCCGTTCTTGATGTTAGATCTATCAGACCGGAATGCTTGAAAACGCGTGCATGAACAGTTGAACTATGTATTCTGTGTGTACTATCGTTCAGTAAATCACTAATACTTCCAAGTTTACACATTTTCCTATAAGATGACTGGTCTTCGTGGAGGAATCAGCGAAGAATCTTGCTGATGCAGCACAAAGTAACATTCCGAGAAACATTCGTTCTTTCTGTTCAACGATGCATCTCTACCGGTTGCACAGCTACCTACATTCCTACGTTCAATATGTAGGACGACAGTACGGTAACCACGACCTTATTTGGTTGGGTCCGTGTCTGTACAAATCACATTTATCGCTGTTGGAAAGGGATCGCCTGCTCGACAAAAACCCGCAACGTTCTCCAGACCAGACTGTTCCAAACAAATCATGGTACAATAATCCTTATAAAAAAGAAAAACGTTCCATGATTTGCATGTGGGACGAATACTGCCAGGTTGCCCAGGCCAAAGCAGATAAATTTTCTTGACGAATCCACAACTGGAGCCTTCGGCTAGCCAAAGCCTGACCTGCGAAGCAGCGAGATGGTGTGTGCAAACCGCAAACAATTGAGGGCCAGTGTCCAGTTCATCGTATCATACGCCCTTCGGATGGGGTCAAACGACCAAGGTACCCAATACACCTCGATGCCTAGTTGAGCCGATGACCACTGCCACAACCGAGAGGGCGTGTGGTTCGCACGCCTCTTCTTGGTTGGTTTGGAATCAGGGTTTTCAGCCAACTCCCCTACGTGAACTGCCAGCGGTCNCCCGGTTACAGCCCCGGATATCGGCTTTCCATCCTCTCACTTTGGTGAAAAACACCTCCGCCACGAGAAGGGAGTGAGTAGTACTTCCTCAGCAGAGGCTATTTGAGACGCTTGGTCGTATGGGAGCATTTCACGAGGTGTAAGGGAAGGGTAACCAACCGCAACCCTAGACATCCATCCCCGACCATACTGAGGCTTTGTATTGTTGTGTTGTATCCAGGAGACTCGCGTTAAAGACTTCAGTTCTATTATCCGAATGACGACCCCATCAAACCCATCTGCGAAGTTTCACATACGCCTCAGTCGATAGTAGGTTGTGCGCAGTGGGAGTCAGAGGTTCGTGCAAAGTAAGCAGCTGTCGCCCCGATAGACAAAATGTGGTTGTCGTGTCGGCGTACGCTCCAACGGACGGAAACCCAGATGCAGTCACAGATGAATTCCACAAAAAATTGCACAACCTGTTGTGTAAAGTGAACCAGGCTGATATCATGATTTTACATCTGAATGCCAGATTAGTCGCCTGACTTCCGAAGAGCCGCATCTGGGAGGTCCTTTCGAACTAGATTCCTATCGTTTGGAAGACACGGAAAGGGTGTTGGTTCTATGTTCCAATCACCGCCTATTCTTCGCCAGTACGAATTTCAGACGTTCGAGCTGCTGGTATGCAACTTGGCGTCCGACCTTCCAGAGTCAGCGACAAACGCATATCGACCGAATCGCCATAAGTCACGAATTACGGGACTTCATTCAAGACTGCCGGTCGTACTGGAGCATTCCCATCGAATCCGACCACTCACTAGTTGTCACCAAGTTGTCCCAGTGCTTTGACACCCTGTATATAAACTTGATCCCAATAGCATTAAGGCTGTTAGCTTCCGTCATTCTCCACCAATATATTATTTACTCATCAGAACAAGAGTGTATCAGTATGCGGTGGGACGGCTTATGCACTGCAAACACGTATTATAGCTTTTTCAGGCAAAGGCCTTATAACTGTTAAGTTTTTGAAATGCAGCCTAATAACTTGGTGGTAGGCAGCCTTGCTGTCGTCCGGTTCAATACCACATCTAACCTATCGGGGCCTTATATGCTTCATCACTCCAAGTCGCGGTGCTTAGGTTACCGGTTTCCATCACTGAACAGCAGGTCCTGACTATGGGGCTTTCCCCGTCTGCTGTTCATCACACTAAAGTGTGTAATAAAAATTTTTTAACTTGCGTTTTCGGTTGGGGAAATCAGATAAAAACGATTCGAGAAAACGGCTGATGGGTCAGAATTCCCGCCACACAGGCGCGGAGGGGCTTGTGTCGAAATAATTTTCGAGGATGCAAATGAGCATTTTGTTGCTTAATGTAACGCAATCAATCGCGATCAGCCTACTCGTTGAACTGCAGCATCATGCTGAAGTCTATCGAGAGGTTTTCGGAAGTTCACACTACAGCGGAACATACACTAATCTGCGCAGCCAACCGGGCAGTCAACCCACATTATCAATGTGCTGATAGGTTGAATAATAGCGTTTCTGGTGGAGGCTTCTGGCGTGTGCTGTTTCCCGACCTGCAACAATAACTATACTCGAAATTCGGTCCAATAAGCCGAATTCGGTATATTCATCGTAGAAATTTTTCTTTCGTGCATCCGCTTTTCCATTTAGTCTCATCCAGGAAAACTGACTGAACAATCGAGATGGATGCAACGTAGACAGTGGTACGTGCACATCTGCTCAATTTATTCGTAAGTTTAGTTTAGCTACATTCTGTAGTTTCACTCTGGCACTAATTTCCGCTTCCCATTTCTTGGGACAACTCTTTCATCGAGATGGGTAGCTTAAAAACAGTAACCTGAACCGCCGAGCAAGTTCAAGGTTGACAGCTGCATAAAAAAAGGGGTGAACAAACTTAAAGGTCTGCCGGTGTTAGATGAAGGTATTTTGAGGAAACGACCAAAGCAGTTCAAAGGCCTATAAAGTGAGCCCTAGTTACCCGTCTTAGAAGTGAAACGGACATCTACTCCAATAGAATCACCCACACGCATAAAAAATGATGTTGACTGATCTGTATGATTCTGCATTAACAGTCTCGTTTAATCAATTGATTGACGATATCAGAACTCACTATACTTTTGGAAAACTAATTGCAATGACAACGAGCACGGGAGGGTGAAGAACAACGTCGTCTACGGGATGCTGCCGACCGAAAGGCGGGCGAAGTGATGC